GAGAAACAAGTTTTTTTTTTGGTTCAAATACCCCGTTCCAGTATCAGCTCACCAGCTCTCAGTTTTTATCACCCTATCGAACCACCCTAGTATCAGTAAAATAAAGCTCACCAAAAATCATTAAACCTTTTGTTAAGGAAGTATTTTGATCATTCATATAGAACTATATATTTAAAAATTTCTTTTTATTGCCGAATTTTTTTGTCATCGAAAAAAAAAATAAAATAAAAAAATTATTTTCGAAATATCCTTGCAAAAACACTTTAATGTACACAAACATACAAATATTATAAGAATATGTAATATATCTCTTGCATATGTTCATATGTCGCTTCTGCTTTCGTCTAATAACACCGTGCAACAAATTTGTTATTGATCTACGCTAACAAACTTCTAAAAGGATTTCGCAAAGATAGCTTGCTTTTAAAAGATCTTTGCCTTTAAACCTTAGCTCCTGCAGCGCATTGAAATACAATTAAATTCGGTCGAAAACTCTCTTTAAAACTATAAGTTCTCCTTACTAGAGGAGTATTTGATATTTTTTTTACCATTTTTCTCGACGAATAAAAAAAAAATGTATTTATATTCATTGCCTAATGTAACATAAACATCCACTAAATCCTTTTCATCAGGCTCTTCTTTTTACTTACTCTTCTGTATCTTCATTTCGTTCTTCTTCTTCATACGTCTTGTATCTACATAAGTAAAACATGTTATGAGTACCTTATGCTAATAGGAAAAATGTCACAGCTTAGGTACTATTTTACAAACTAGTTCCTACGGTACTCTTTTGGCGACCAACCTACCAGGTGCTTTAAATTGTTTTGAATAATACGTATGCAAAGAAATTGGAGCAGATAAGTACACTGAAAAAGCTCAACTATGAGTGGATATACATATGTATGTACATAGTTTTACAACCGTTTCCCGATTAAATTCCATGACCCTAAAAATTGTTGCATTCTTGTTTTGCTACCCTGGTTTGGTACTAAAAATTGTTGCACTCTTGTTTTGCTACCCTGGTTTGGTACTATCGACTTATTTGGGTAGCTTCCCATTTGATTTCATAACCCTGAAAGTGGTCGCACAGTGTAATACTCAATAATATCCACCTACGCATGACCATAAATATTGACCAAAAAAAAAAGTGGAAACTTTGCTACTCTTTTAAGCTTTATGTTCGGTTTTCTTTCCACTTTGGAGGCAAGTTGAAGCTGTTCTCAATTTCTTCTACAATTATTTTGCTTCTAAAGTCGTCTCGCCGCTAACAAAAGGAGTCACATGAAAGAAAGATGGCGCAGTTAATTAGTGTTGAGTGCGTAAATCTTTCATACAATTAGAGTTGTAGCGAGCAGCTAGTAGACAAAATTGATTTAGACTTAAGCGCCGCGACTATGTTTACCAAGTATGAATTCACTTAGTTGTGGAGTCTATCTATGTATATACGCATGTACATGTAATATTAAGCACCAAATAAACTAAGTTCAAGGTCCAAGCAAATGCGAAAATGAGAGTAAAATGTTGTATCAGTAAATTAAGTGTGTCATTGTTCAAAATAATGACAGTCACTGGCAATTTTTGTAAAAGCTCATTAAATTTATTTGTTCATACTTTGAATGTTGCTTAATGGTTTTTACTTGTTGGTGTACTTATGTGGCTGAGCTTGTGGTGGCTGCCTCATTTCTCACTTGTCACTTCATAAATTGTATTATTGTTTCTTGTGTGTTTGCGTAATGTAATTAGACTTAATTAGATAATTGAAAGCTTCACAAGTATCCAGAGTAAATAAGTAGTACATACATAATAACATACATATACATAGACGAACGCAGAGTACTTTGTGGTTTTACATTTAATTTTATGCTGTGTGATTTAGGCTCTGAGGAAATAAGTGTCGTATTTACGGTAGTATTTTAATTCTTTTTAGAATACGTCGCTACAATATCAACTTTATTGAAATTGGTATTAAAATATTATTTCCTTTTTGGTTGTTGTTGTTTCCGACAGGGTGGGTGTGTGTTTCGTATTTTGGAACGAATTTCGTTCACGAAAAATGACACTGAAGATGGCACAACGCCGAAACCGGTTTGTCTCCAAATTTGACAAGGGATGATGGAAATTCGTTTCAAAATACATCATCAAAATATTAGTTTTAAAAACGCAAATTAACTTGAACATTTCACATGAAGACCCTCTTTTGAAAATGATTTAGACAGAAGATTTAGACGTAGTACTTTTGCAAAAGAAAATATTAAACCGCCCCTAAAAGTAAAAAAGCCAAAGAAAATTAAAAGAAGATAAAATAAAAAACCGGTGGGTTCAGCGAATTCAAAAAAATTGGATTCTTATTGGCAGAAAACGATCTGGATGCACTAAAATCGAAACAAATTTATCAACGAACAATGGGTATAGTGAAGGCAATGCCAAATGCAGAGCCGAAAGGTGGCCTACGAACCGCTTTCCCACAGCGCTCGGAACAAAGGCAAGGTCGCGTTGTTGGATAGAAAGAGATCGTACAACCGGCTATCAACTATGGACTGAAGATTGAAGTAGCATGCAGTGTACCTGACTGAAGATCCGTCAAAACGCCAGACAACTACTGCTTATGAATCCCGTTATAAAATAGATGAGCTGCATCTGCACACTATGCATAGCAGAGGTGGTCAACAAATTTAAGTTTCTAAGCCAACAGACAAAAACGTCAATACCAATTACAACAAAATCGTTCTTCTGTATTATGATTCAAGAAACTCCATTTTGTTTGGTTAATTTGGAGCTCCGATCTTGAAGCAAAATCGGCCGCTATCTTTCAAACCTACATATATATTACGGTTTTATAATTTTAGTTGCTTTTTAGTGTTTTAAAGCATACCATCGCTTCTATGGAAACATCGGTTGAATTTAGGTGAGCGCGGACGATAAATTTTTTCTGGAATAGTTGTAATTGTGTCTTGTTAAACAGCAACGTGAACAACATTGCTAACATGAGCAACCACATAAGCACACTAACGCGTGCATTTGGTGGCGGCTAATAAATAGGGACGCGACATTTTAACCAGTTTTGGCCTTTTTTTTTTTGTCTATTTGATGTTTATTATTTTTTCTTTAAAAGTGTAGCTCACTAACTAACAAAAATCATGTAAGTCGAAATTTGAAAATTGGTACAAGATTTATGTGACTAGTTACCACAAATTTTCATAAAAATTTCAAAATTTATACGTACAAATTTATAGGTACGCATAATAAAGTGCAAGTTTGAAATAACTAGGACTTACGATTGATTTTTTGCAATTTTTTTGCTGACAGGATTGTGCAGTTTCCCTTGTGTTACCATATTTTCGTACATAATGTTTAAAAAGTGTGAAGTTTTGATGAAACTTTGTCGGATTTTCATAATATTTAAGCAAAGTGTGAATTTCGGACTTACATGATTTTGTTGGTTAGTGAGCTATACTTTGATAAAAATATTAAACACTAAATAAATAAAAGTAAAATAGCCAAAATTTGTTAAAATGTCGCGGCGCTATTTATTTTGCCGCCACTGTATAAGGACTCGTAATTTATTGGCGCACATTATGAGCCAATGTTACCACCATACAGAATTTAGGCGAATACTACAACAATTTACTTGAAACAATAAAAACCTTAGATTATTTGAATGTGTGGCTGCGTTGCTGTATGAATTTTGGGCGCAGTACCAAACATTTATATGTACCAGTTATATGTACATCGTACCTTTCCTGCATAGGTATCTACATAAATGTAAACAAAACATAGTACAAACCGGTATTTGTGTGTTGGCGTATTGACCAACCGAACAACAACCTGGAACAACGACATAACAATAGCTGAAAACATGATCCTAACCGCAGATTTAGGAGCCACACTCACACATACTCTTTTTCGTACTCAACGCCCCACACATGCGAAGGCAAATGATTACATAAACAACAACGGTTTGTTGGCCTAAAAACTATTTGGCCGAATTTGGCGCAAATTTTAGGTAAATTTCGTTGTACTATATTCAATGGTCAACGCCTGAGGATTACGCGATGTGCGGCCAGCACTGTGATTGTAAATGTGGTTGCGTTTAGTGTTTTGGTCGGAAAAATTTAGTGCATGTTCTGCAGGGCCGCATGCTATGCTTGTCATTAGCAGTGAGTTTGGTCGAGAAAATACATAGTAAAAAAGGCTCGCGAGTTAAAATTATAACATGTACATATGTATGTATATGCATTTGTATTACATAAACTAAAGTTAAAGTTCTTCTTTCCTACTGTAAATTAATTTTCATTCTATATCAGACACATTTGCTTTCTTCCCTCATACAGAATTTTCAATCTATTTTGGCAGTAAAAAACACTTCATTTCCATTAATTACAATCTGTTGCTATCCGCTAGGCCACGCCAATAAAAAATAGATTTTTTTTTATTTATGATAATATGAAAATATTTCTGCTCTTACCTTAACCGTTAACTACATAACAAAAGCTAAACTTTTGTTTTAACAAAAATAATGTTTCACAATAAAAATACTTCAAATTAATAAAAGTACATAAAAAATTTGGCAACTTTCACAATGGCTAGGAATTAGGGAATGTTTTTAGTGAGGAATTTTTCTTCGCATTTCGACGTTGATTTCTTATATCGTTTACAGCAATTAATAAAAATATTAGTACTGCTCGAAGTTTCTGTCAGATTTCCGGACAGATATTATTTGATAGGTAGGAAAAATTAAAAAACAATCGAAAAATAGTTACATACATCAATGCTGATGTTGGTCTCACACACCATTTGCGTGAGCAAATAACTGCTCTTTTAATTGCACACCTTTGCTCTTGCTCGCTACCGTAATTAACTCCTGGCACACCCAGTGAAAGCTATTCGTAGTGTGAAATTTATTAGCGAGTATACGAAATATTAATTTTAATCTAAAAATTGTGTCGTGGTCTGAGAGACCAACAACTTAAGGATTAGTTAATAGTCTAATTATCACCTACCTGCCACTCATTTCCGCTGTCGGCCAGTCACCTGATCCCCAAGGCATGTCAGTTGTACCCAACAATAAGCCAAATATGAAACCAAAAAGCACCGAAGTAATCATACCAACAGCTAGAGTGATGAAACCAGTGCGCTGAAAAAGAATAAAAATATGTAAATTTTATATTGAACTTTGCGTAAAACACGTAGCAGAGGTAATAACTGCCGAAAAATGGCAATTGGTGGCATTACTCATAAAATTGCAGCAACTTAGTAGCAAATGCCGATGTTTTATGAAGAAGCCAATGGTTTACTTGAATACTTTGAAAATAAGGAATTATGTATCTACATATCACACACCATCTTCAAGAGAGGCACAACCCAAAAATCAGATCAACATTTTCACCAGTTTTGACTACTCCAAAAACAAATGCTTTAAATATGTATAGTGTATGTCTGCGTCTTTAAGTTCAAATTGAAAGTAGCCATTTATATTTTAATATTTTTTACATAAAATATTTTTTGATCCTCTTCAATAATTTGCATTGCAATTCGCTCAAGTCTGAAAATGTAAGTCAAGCAATTTGACAAAATTGCATGTTTGCTCGCCGCCATGTTTTTGCTTTTTTATGCTGACAAAGGCGCCGCCGCTGTTGATGCTCTCAACCAGAAAAGAACCATGTTTTGACAATTTAGTGACTTTATTTTGACATTTTTGTGCGAGTGTTGTAAAGAGTGTTATAAGCGCGTCAAGCGCACAAGAATGCGACTACTCACATACATATGTAAGTATGTGCGTACAAGCATAAGTACATATGGCTGCACATTAGGGATGTACCTATTCCATGAGAATAAATGTACTAAATCAAAGTTGACAGGCTATCAATCGAAACTTATTTCCAAGAAGAGGGAAGGGGAGTCAATAACTTTTTTAACAACAGTCTTTAATGCATTAATTTTTAGCTAAGCTTTAAAAATAAAAATGTTTTCAAAGTGCTTGATTAATATTTGCTTGGTCATAAAACAGATGGATGTCCAAACATATATACAATATTCTCAACGTAAATTTATTGTAATTTTAAATCAAAGTAATGATAAGAGTTCTTCCAACCCAAATAGTAAAAAGGAGCAACAGTCAAAAAATACTGCCCTATACATTGGATCTGTTTGTCGAAACGAGAAATCTAAACCATGAAGGACACCTCTAGTGTTTAGGTTTGGCGCTCTACTAGCGCATGCAGGAATGCTTCTGTATATTAGGGCGACAAGCAACAATGAGAAAGGAATTCCAGACATACTTTGCCCGCGCGCGCTGTAATGTCCACACAAGCACAATAATGGCAACGCCAATAGCGACAGTTAGAATAGATGGCAAGCGAAAAAAAAAATTGTTAAATAGAAATTCAGTCAAAAAATAAATGTACGTAAACTACTACAATAAACTGTCAGCGAAAACTTAAGCAAACACATGTGAAGTGGTGATTCGGGAGGGAAGAGGGCGGGTCGGCGGGTCGGCGGGTTAGAGAAGAGTAACCACTAAGTCACCAATTTTGTGTGTACATATGTATGTATGTATTTGCATATGTGTATGCGTATTGGCATCTTTGCATGCACTTTAAGTGCTTTTGTTATTGTCGCTTTTTTGCAAATTGTTCGCTGCTGCTGAGTGCCTGGCAGTGAAAGCCGCCCAAAGCAGCCATACCAACGCCAGTGAAAAAATAAGCAGAGAACTGAAAATTGAGCATGTGTGTGGCATGTTAACCCAAATTTTGATGCCAACAACTGCATTTGAAAGATGACAATGCTGCCATCAGCGCGCGAGTTTCGCATGCTAGGCAAAACTCATAAAAAAAAAACAACAACAAATAAAAGGGCGCAACGTAAATCGGGTTAAATAAATAACACCGTAGGAACGTTAAATTGACATAAAAACGCCGAGGCACGTATACTTAATTTTGGGCCGTAGATCACGCACTTGTTTTCTAGGGTTTTCTAGATCAGGTAATTTTCCCTGGATATTTTCATAAATTACAAATGAAAAACAGTTTAAACTTTAACAGAGAAAAATTTAAAAAAATATAATGGAACATGGCGTATGAGTAACATTCTTTGTTGATCATATTTCATACAAAAAAATTATATATGTATTACGCATACCTAGAAGAACTGGCTTTAATACAAACGAAAAAATGTACAAATAATTTTTAATCTTTTTTTAATTTTTTCCTTTTACATTTTGATTTTTTTATACCACGATTTTTTTTTTTTTAAGTTTAAATATCTTGGGGTAAATGACCTGATCTGGAAAAGCAGAATACAGATTCGTATTCTGCGACTGGCAATAAAGTTTACGTGTTTCAACGTGACATAAAATTTCAGAGCTTGTGATTTTTCCTATAGTGTAATAAGAGCACATGAGCGTGCATTGCTGTTGTTGCTACTGCAGAAAAAATGTTATTGTAACAAAACTTTTATTTTCAATGTACTTGTGCATACACAATTGAGGCGAGTGGCAAGATCAGAGTTGATAGTAGCGCACAAACCTTTCGTATAAATGTATGCACATTAGGGTGCCTCAACCAAAACAAAAATTTCCAATACCTTTTTGCAACTACCTCCAAAGATCTCATTATTTTAATTAGGATTGTAAAAATTTTTATGCAGACATGTTAAAATTAAATTAAAAAATAATTGATTTTTTGGAAAAAATATTTTAAACTCTAATTTCTTTTATAAATAACCCGATTTTCGCAAGCATTTTGAAATATTTTTTTTCGAAAATCTGAAAATATCATAAATTGTTTAATTCCGAAGAAAACATAGCACCAATTATTATTATTATTATTATTTTTTTTCATATGCAGTGATGCATCCTAATATATATATATACATATACATACATACAAGCTATGAGGGAATTTTTTTCATGCGAGCGCGTACTCGTACTTGATAACATTGCGCAAAAATGTATTCTTTCGCATTTTTGTTTTGGCAGTTTTCTTCACATGTTTCTGAATTTTATTGCTTGCTACTCGCGTGCAATTTTTTCATCCATTCACTACGATTTTTGCATTGTCATTGCATCTGTCATATGCCAGCTAACGCATGCTTTACTGGCAATGCATTTTGACTGTTGAATGTTGGTTGGGAGAGCGCGTGCGTGCATACTTTCGCGTAAATGCACTTGGAAAGCTGTCAGTTGCAAGCGCAAACTGCATGCTGCATTGCGTTAAAGTTGAGATAGGTTAGTATGTATGTATGTACATCCATATGGACATGTTCTTGTGTGTAAGCTTACAGAATGGATACTTGATGAGAGACAACTGAATTTTATTTTTACAGCCAACTGACCATTTCTAAAGGTTGAATTTATGTACTTACATACATAAAAAAAATATTTAAAAACATTATTTCCAACGTTTTGCTTTTTTGTTTTTCCACTTTGGCTAAGATCTTTCATCATAAGCCTCAAAAGCTTTTCATTTTATTGTGCACTGAATGCATGGAATATGGATATGAATATTAATATGAATATGAATATGAATACGAATGTAAATATGAATATGAATATGATTATGAATATGAATATGAATATGAATATGAATATGAATATGAATATGAATATGAATATGAATATGAATATGAATATGAATATGAATTTGAAAATGAATATGAATATGAATATGAATATGAATATGAATATGAATATGAATATGAATATGAATATGAATTTGAAAATGAATATGAATATGAATATGAATATGAATATGAATATGAATATGAATATGAATATGAATATGAATATGAATATGAATATGAATATGAATATGAATATGAATATGAATAGGAATATGAATATAAATATGAATACGAATATGAATATTAATATAAGTTCGAATATGGATATGAATATGAATAGGAATATGAATATGAATATGAATATGAATATGAATATGATAATGAATATGAATATGAATATGAATATGAATATGAATATGAATATGAA